AGTGGGATAACCAGCCTGGTTCCCCACCAACCTCCTTCAACCAAATGAGCAATTCACCTTATTTAATACAAAAGGACAGAACTTGAGGGCCATAGCATCACTGAAAGAGCTGCCACCAGGACCTAAAACTCTGCATCATTATCTGTTACTCTTACTCCATCTCCTTTCTGATTGCTGGCCTGCAGGCGTGGGAATGCAATGTGTATGGTTTTATTTTCCTAATTGCAATCAGTTTGCAGACCACCTTCGGGCATGCTATGGACCACCAGTAGTGCAGGGACCGCATGTGAAGAAGCCCTACCCTAGGAGACCTATCCTGCCTTCCCTGATGTGGTTAAAACACCATTCCATGTTGCGGTGCCTGGAAGGATTTAACCACGTTCTCAGCCCAGATGAAAGCCCTGGACTATGCCATGTGCTTGAGAAAGCAGGCCTGAGCTTCAGCTGTGTAGGAGGGCAAGGAGCCAGGCTATCTGCAGCACTTGTGATCCCTTTAGAGCCTCCCCCATCTCTCTTACATGCAAATGCAACCTTTCAGTCTCTGGGCCCAGGTCTTTCTGTTCTGAAGCCTTTGTTGGCTATTAATACCTGGGGAATCTGTGAAGTAGGCAAACAAGGTTTAGATGAGTGTGGGAAAAAGAAAGGCGTTACCACGTATGAGTGAACTTCAGTTTCACTCATGCTGAATTAGTCAGTGCCTTCGAGTGAATTCCAAGTGCTGGTCCAGCTATTAAATGACTCTTCCTAAAGAGGGAAGTGCTCCATTTTGAGCCTCTCCTGGAGGAAAAGCTAACTTAAGGAAATAGAATAAATAAGATCTGAATTAATTATTGCATTGGGTTTGTTTGGGGGGTTTGGTTTTGGTTTTTCTTCTCTCTCCCAGAAAGAAAAGGTATCAATGAAAAGGAAAAGTCAGTTTACAGCAGCTTCTGGGACCACTACAAGCTGGAGAAACCCAGGTCACTTGTAGTGCAGGTGAATAATAGAATCATAGAATAGTAAGGGTTGGAAAGGACTTTAAGATCATCTAGATGCAACCCCCTGCCATGGGCAGGGAATGCGATGTCTGTGTCAGGACTGGTGACTGGAAACCTCATCCAGATGCTGAAATCCCAGAGGAACATGATGAGGTAAGTGCTTCACCAAAGGAGAACTACAAGACAGAAGCTCCAGTGGCTGATAAAGTCTGTTCAGCTTAAAAGTGGATGGGGAAGGAGGCATCAGTGCTGGACCATTAACACTGACATATCAAGAACTTATGTTTCGCTTCCTACCCTGAAGGAATGGTTCCTCCTCTAAACTTTCCATCCCAGAATCACTACTTTTCCCTTGCTCCTTCTCTAACACAGCAGCAGTGAGAAGTGATGTCTGCAGGTGGCAAAAAGGAGAGCAGTTTTTTCCATCAATTCAGTGTTAACGGTGTCCTGGCTTCAAAAGAAAAGCTGCTTTTGGCTGAAATGGAAATGACAGAAGGGGTAGGGGAAGAGCATGGAAAAAACGATGACGGAAACTCAAACAAAGCAGGTGTATGGATTGCATTTCCATCATTTCTGCAAATACGAAGGCTGCGTGGGCTTGATCCAGGAAAGTATCCTAGCTGTAACACAAGCGCTTTGACAAACACACATTAAAACATGGCCAGGCTTTCCACTATCAGTAAGGCAAACTCAGCATCCACGCACAGGTTTAAGTCCTTCCACATTGCTTTTCAAGCGCATTACGCCCAAAAACATGCTCAAGGATGGTAATATGAAGAGGAGATTGTCGATATTTGTGCTGAATATCCACTCAAATGCAGGAAATTACAGCTAACATGGTGTCTGTTTGATCCTCTTAAAGCAGTGACCTGATTGTGGAAACACTTTTGTCCTAATTCTCTAAAATCATAGAATGGTTTGGGTTGGAAAGCACCTTAAGATCATCCAGTTCCCCCTGAGAAGTGAAGCAGGGTTTGACTGAAGATGGATTCAGGCTTGCCAGGAGACCTGAAGGTGTTCCTCATATCAATTTTTAGTGCTTCCATTTTCTCCTCCACCTTACAATGGACACAATGGACCTATAAGGATGCTGGGGATGGACTGTTCATTAGGGACTGTAGTGATAGAACAAGGGGTGATGGGTTAAAACTTGAACAGGGGAAGTTTAGATTCAATATAAGGAAGAAGTTCTTTACTGTGAGGGTGCTGAGGCACTGGAATGGATTGCCCAGAGAAGTTGTGAATGCTCCATCCCTGGCAGTGTTCAAGGCCAGGTTGGACAGAGGCTTGAGTGACATGGTTTAGTGTGAGGTGACCCTGCCCATGGCAGCGGATTGGAACTGGATGATCTTAAGGTCCTTTCCAACCCCAACCATTCTATGATTCTAATTTCCCCTACCAAAGAGCAGCAACAAAACTGGTATGAATTTACACCCCAGGCTGAGAAGCTCCTCTCTCAGGCACAGCAAACTTCCATCTTCACCCATGCAAGAGGGATCAAGCTGGGTTTGACAGCCCTTCTGAGGCGATGCGGTGGAGGCTCATGCTGTTGCCCCTTTTTCTCATGCCAGAGCTGTCAAGCTGAGATTGTGCTCTATGCGACATTTGAAATGGTAAGCAAAGAACAGCTTGCCAAGCACCGCTCTCAGGTTCTCAGCTAAGCAGAAACAGATCACTGGCATTTGCTGTAACCCAAAGGCAGGTCTGTCATATCCGCAAACAGTAAAGGATACAGAACAAACAAACAGATCCCAAATGCAGTTCCCCATCATGCCTGGGAATCCCCACAGAATGGAAAGGGGTCACGCTCTTTTAACAAGAAAGGGTTTGACCAAAAATACCCAACCAACCAGAGCAGCTGCAAAGTTGTTTTTTCTTTGTGCTGGATTTTATGATGTTTACTTGTTTCAGTTTTCAATGGGTTTTGCTTTTAAAGAAAGCATTCGCAGGCGGGTTTCTCAGTGGGTCCTACCATCCCCAGCAATAGCAGGAGGACTTCTGCCCTTCAGAGCTTTTGCTAAGCTTTGCCAGCCTAATTCTAGCAGCACCGAAAGTCACGCTCCGAGTATTGCATTAGAGACGTTGATGTGAATAACAGATAATTTTCTCACTCAGAAAGAAGGAGCAGGGAGGCAAATAGCAAAACCTAAATGTCAATAGCAAGGGAAGTAACAGTTTGCTTTCTGTCTTCAGCAGGCGTCTATTGCAAGGTGTGAATTTGCTGGTGTCTAACTTGAGCTTGTGCTATGCCTCTGCCTCAAGAGGCAAAGGGGAAAGAGGGAGGCGTGCTGATGGAAATCCCTTGCATCCAGCTGCCTGCTTTCAAACTTGCAGAAATGGAATGTCTCCAATATCCTTTAAATTGGCCAACAGATGCAGCAGTTTTAGCCAAAGGTCCGTTGTATTTATTTACACATATACACTGGAGTTGCACAAGATCCGTCACGTTAAGAAACCTAAACTTGACTTGTTTCCTTTATTGATTTTGGAGTTTTTTATGATGAATGAAGAAATTCGGAACTTTTTCCTTCCTTTTTTCCCTTCTCTTTTTTTTTTTTTCCCTGTTGGAAACACTCACTGTGCCAAATCAGCCTTTCTCATGTTCTGATGGAGGACTTGCTGCAGGTCATGCCAGGTGACCCTTAACCAAAGAGGAGGCCTCCTGGCCCTTTTATAACAGTGTTCTCAGAAGCACAAAGCACTCTCAGATGGTTCTGGTTTAGACGGCACCGTTTTAGTGCCTTTCAGAGCACAGCAAAAAGCATCCTTCAAATGCACATCTGACATTCAGCTGCTGCCCTTTCATACCTACATATCTGTGTGTGACTCCTGAGGAATCACCTCATCCCTCTGCCTTTTGTCACCCCAGAAGCCCTATCCTACTATTGCTTTAATGGCTGCAAAGCTGTTGGCTGACTCCACAGTGACTCCTGCTAAAAGAGTCCTCAATAAATCAGACATAAATGAAAAGAGGCAGGTGCTGTGTTCCTATTCCTTTGGATTTATGGTCATTCTTTATGCCACAGCTCTACACAGGGATTTACAGCAGCAAAGGCTGATAACCTGGGGCAAGGAGCTTGACCAGACAGGCTGAGCAATAGCAGCTCTTGAATCACAACAGACCCTAAGACAGTGACCCCATGGATCACCCTGCTGTGGCCAGCACTGCTCATGGTGAGACGTTGAATACATCCTTTATAGAGCCATAGGAATGAGCAGCTACTCCCTGCACCCACCCTGGCCAGCATGGGGAAGGGGGGTTCCACTGCACCAAGATTTGTGCAAACTGCTATGCCCTAGGCTCTAGGCTTCCTTCCTTACCTTCCTCTTTTGTCTTCTTCATCTTACTCCTCGTCATCATCATCTTCTTTATCATATTCTTGTGCTTCTGCATCAGAGAATCATAGAATCATAGAATCGTTAGGGTTGGAAAGGATCCAAAGATCATCTCGTTCCAACCCCCCTGCCATGGGCATCATCATCTTCTCCTTCTTCATCATCATCTTCTTCCTCCTCCTCTTCATCCTGATTTTATTCTTCCTCCTCTCATTTCCTTCTTCTCTTACTCTTTTTCTTCCCTCTCCTCTTCCTCATCTCCTTCCCCCTCTTTCCTTCTTCATCATCTTCTTCATCATCACCTTCTTATTCCTCCTCATCTTCTTCTTCATCTTCTTCTTCATCATCCTCTTCATCATCTTTTTCATCATCTTCTCCGTCCTCCTCCTCCTCCCTTTCCTTCTCCTCCCTTTCCTTCCTCCCGCACACTCACCTCACCCCCCCACCTCCCTGCGCCCCCTCACCTGGCCCCGCCCAACCCCAAATATGGGCAAGACCAGTCTCTAGCCCCGCCCACCAAGCAGCCCTGTCCCTCTCTCCAAGCCCCTCCCTCCTTTAGCCCCGCCCCTTCACCGGCCCTGCCGTCTCTTCCCTCCCCTCCCTATTGGCTCCGCCGTACCACGTGACGCCGAGGCCGGATCGAGGGGGCGGGGCCGGGGCGGGCAGGGGGCGCGCGCGGGGCTGCAGCAGCTGCATGTGCGGGGCGCGGAGCGGAACGGAACGGAACGGAACCGGACGGCACGGCTCGGAACGGGAAGGGGACAGCGCAGAACGGGGCGGCACGGCCGGAGCCGGCGAGCAGGTCAGTGCGCGGGACGGGCGGCGAGGAGGCGGCATGTGGGGCCGCCCGCGCAACAATGCGGGCGGGAGGGAGCCATGCGCGGAGCGAAGCGTGGGGCCGCCCGGGTGCGGGGCGAGCCCTCCTTTCCTTCCTTCCTTCTTTCCTTCCTTCCTTTCCCCCTCCGCCGGGGAGGCCGGGAGCGGGGCGGTCGCGGCGTGCAGGGGGAGGCCGCGCATGGGTGCGCGATGCGGTGACCCCGTGTGCGGGGCCGTGCGCGGGGTGCGGTAACCCCGATACCCATCGGGGGACACACACACCAGGCAGAGCCTTGCCAGGCTCAAGCAGGGCACTGCGCGGTGCAGCGGGGCGGGGGGAGAACGGGGACCATGCACGATGCTGCGGTAGCCCCGGTGGGGAGACCACGTGCGGTGCTGCGTTCGCGCCCCTCATTATAGGACAGCACCGGAGCACCCTGAGAGCCCCGTGTCCCGTGGCGATGCGCGCTGGGTGTGCTGCAGGGTGCGCATGTTGGGCACTTGCATTCTCCGGGCGGCCTCACCACGCTCTCAGCGTTTCAAGGGGCCCGGGGTTGGGGTGGGGGGAAGCGCAGAATATTCCGTGCTGTCCGGTCGCGCCATCCCAATGGACGTTTCCCACCTCTTTGCAGGGAAACGGCGTTCAACGCATGGGGCTGCTCTTGCTGCAGTTGCAGCAGTGACGGCCTCTCCTGTGCCATATTTGAGCGTGTTTCCGTTGTGCTAATGAGGTTTAAGGGGGTTTCGGGAGGCTGGTGGGCCCCCGTGTGAAAGCAGGCGGGTCACAGAGCAGGAGGACACCCCATGCGCTGCCTTCCTCTGCCGTAGGTAAGGTGGATTTTGCATGCGACTGGAGTTACTAATCCGAGCAATTAGCTGGAATCTGGCAAGTTTGTGCTGCTGCCAGTTTCCAGTTAATTCGGTTACGGCTTCATCCTTCTGCTCAAAGGAGGTGAAATGTAAACGGAGCAGCTGGGGCTGCTGAGTTGGTTTTATATACATACATCCCCCTTGCTAAAGGAGGATCAGCAACTGAAGTAGGCCTTAATGAACTTGTGTATTTATTGGAAGCAGTGGAAAAAGAGTAGTGTGGATAAATGGGGCTGGTGAGTGGTTTGCATGCTAAATCTCACACGCCTCCCTACCCTGTTGTGAGCTGGATTTGAATTCCGTGGTTATAATGGTTGCAGATTGTTTGGTCATGTCATTGCTAGTGGTGTATACTGAAAATGCTGCAGGTGTATTTAAAGCTGGGAGCTTTGTACACCCACCAATACTTACATACATCCAGGAACTTCATGGTGTGTTGTCACTAGGCTTCAGAGTTAACCACCCAGGCGCCGGCTGTTGCTATGTTGCAGCAGAGTTCCCATCATAGCCTCTTTGGGGGACATGGGATGCTATTAGGGGCTGCAAATCTGACACGTGGGCAAGTGAAGGAAGAGACTTTTAACCTAGTAAAAGCTACAACCTGAAATCCATTCCTTTGGGAAAGCAATACTTAAACTTTCACGAGGCTGAAAATAGTCGTGTCACTGGAGCGCTACCAACCTTCGTCCCATTGGCACTGCTGAAAGCTTTCATTACGACTGGTTTAGTTTTATTTCTGTGTGTGCTCAAAAATCACTCAGTGGCTTCCAGTTGAGGTGGTCCCTGACGAGAAGCATCCACTGGGATCAGCCTCTTGGGTTTGACGGCAGAAGTGCCTGTAGAAACGTCAAAACCCCCCCCGGCATTTAGGCACATTTCCAGCTTAATCATCCCCTGCAAGCGATGGAAATCAGTGGCTTGAAATCCAGCAGCACTTGATATTAAAATAGCAAACAGTAAACATTGGCTCCTATCAATAACTTTAATTACAGTTTGGGTTTTTGACTGGAATAGGCATAGGTTGCCGTAAGGAAATAGAGAGTTGAGCATCCAGATGCACTCAGTGGGGTGGTAGCACATCATCGGACGTGGCGCAATGGGTTTTTATAGCACAAATTACAATAAATGGGGGGTTTTTAGCAACGTAGCATCCTGTTGTGTAAGGAAACTGCAAGCTTTTGGGCTGAGGCTGTGTGGTTTCTGGGCATCGTGTGCTGCGGCGTGTTGGTGAATGGTGTTCCAAAGCGGCTTCGAACGGGGAGAGCAAGTTTGACTGCTGTGGAGCTGAACCCCATTGGGGTTTTTTGAACCATTAAACAAAATGCAGGGGAAGGTTTGAGTGTGCCACTGATAGACAAACAGAAAGCAAAAATAAACACCCAGAAAAGGGTTTTGGGGTTTCTTGTTTATCATTGGCTGAGAAGGAAAGTGCCGGTCCAGGGGTGGGTGTGAAATCCCATGTTCGCTGTGCTCCAAACCTGGAAACTACAGATCATGGCACATGGTGGGGGCACGCACATCTCCCCTATGTATTTTGCATCTTTTCTTTTCCCCCTCTGACTGTACCCAAAGCTAAAGGAGGGATGCAGCGACCATTGCTCCGTTAAATGCTCATTTTTTGCCCAGTTACGCCACTTTGTGAACACAAGACGTGACCGGATTCCTGTGGCAAGGAGCCCTTAAGATTTCAACAGCTCTACCTATAAATATAGATGCCGTGAAAGGCAATCCGGCTTTAAAAAAAGAAAAACACACTCTTTTTTTAGTCCCACTGTATCTGCCTGACTTTACTGCGATGCAATGCATCTCCGGCCGGGCGGTGAAGACGAGGCAGCGTGAAGCCTTTGAGTCTCTTAATTCCTCACGCGAATTTATCTCAAGAATGGGTGCAAGCAGAGAAAAAGCATCCATTTTCATTGTCCAAAAGATTTTAGGGAGTGGGATGGTGAGGTTGTATAGAGCAGCATTTGCAGAGGGACCTTTGCTTGGTCCTGGTGAGTCCCTGGGAGCTGCCATGCCATTGGGCAATGAAGGATGGGAGAGGAATGAGCATCCTTTGGGTGTGAGCAACATCCCAGGTGAAAACTAAAGCAAATAAGCCCCTAAAATTAAATAAATAAAGAAAAAAGGCAGCTGCCACCTCGCCCTGGAGGTGTCTGGGCTCACCTGCCTGCTCTGATGCAACCAGGGCAGCTCGGGGGCCAGTTTTGGGCATGCCTAGGGTTGCCCAGGGACAGGCTGGTCCCGGGAACAGGTACAGCATGTTCTCTGGGTGCTCCTCCACATCAGTGCGACCCCCATCAGCCCCATGGTGAGGTGATGGCCACTGTGCACATCCTGATGGAGAAAACCCCGCTGCCTGCTAGGATGTAGGTGGAAAGCCTTTGCAGCGTAAGCGATGCTTTATCTGCACTTGCATGGCACGAATCCACCTTTGTGGCCGGAGCATCTTTGGCAGGAAGCCCTCAGTCACCTTGCGGTGTTTAAAGCCTGATGGAGGGGTTTAGATGGAACATGGGGCTGGAAAACGGGTGGGAGTGGGGCGGGAGAACTGCTGCGTGTGCAGTTCGGGAAGTGCTGAGCCTGAGCGGGAGCTGCAGACAGGCTCCTCACGTGACCGTCTGAATTTCTGATGATTGCTGGACCACTTTGCCAACAGCCTCTCGGGCTCATCAGCTGCAATATCACTTCTCCTCTTTATCCTCTGGGGTTTTATCCCCTTTTCTTCCCCACCCTGCCTTGATTTCCAAGCCGGAAAGCAGGAGGGGGTTGAACACAACGCGGAGGGTGGCTGCAGCTGCGCAGGGTCTGCATCCAAATGGTTTCCTGGAAGGCAAGTTTTTATGGCTCTTTTCGTTCTTCATCTTAATATTTTTACTGTGAGTCTCTCGCTGTTTGGATGTCAGCTTCAGTTTCCCATGGCATCGTGTTCAGAGGAAAGGGGGTGGGAAAGAAGGGGGTGAATGCATTTTGCATGCAGATCTCTGCAGCCGTATCGATGGTGAATGTGTTCCCTCTCTGATACTTCTCGGAGATTTCCTCTCTTGCGTCACTGCAGTTAATAAGATATTTAACGTGAGAGCTGGGAGCGATGTGGTGTGTTGCAAGGAGAAGGAATTGGGGGGGGAATGATGAGTTCCCACACAGACTTGTGCTGGGGAAGATCCTATCGATGCAACCTTTCAGGCTGGGTTTGGAGTCAAACTGTTGCCTTTCACCCTTAATGAACCTGACCTGGCTGCGTCTAATTGTTCTTGGTTTGTTATGGCAATGATTATTTCTCCTTCTAATACTGAGCCAAGCAACTCACTCCTCTGTGTCTGCTGCACTGACTGAGTCAAGGACGCACACCTTTGTTATTTTAAGCAGATTGTACCTGCCTGGACTTTTTGAGTTTTAGTTTTTCCCTTTATTTTCTGGTCCCCTTTGTACTGCAGAGACCACCTGATGGCTTTTTGGGGGTGATGTTGGGGTGACAGTGCAGATGCAGTGATTGCAGGGTCTTGTTGACTGTGTGCATTGAGTCCCTGTTGATTATGTCACCGGTTGATTATAGAGTTAATAAAGTGCCACCTTGACCAAAAGCTGTGTCCCTCCCTGCCATGGCTTGCAAGGCCAGCTTGTTGAGTCGGTCAATAAACCCTGGGAGCAGCACCCTTGGGAGTTCAGCACTGAAATGGGAACGCCTGTGTCCTTCAGCCCGCTCCTTGCCAAGTTGTTTTCCTTCTCCAGCTGCCACTCAAACCCTTTCTGCTGTGTTTTTCCACAAGTGTCTTTCAAGCATAACAAAGCAAAGAAAGCCAGTGCAGGGCTGTGGGTGATGAGGGGAGGTTGATGCTTATCAGCCTTACACTTGCTTGTGGCTTTGGGGGCCCCCTTTGCTGCAGGTGACTTGGCTGCATGGTGCAGGTGGGTTGGCATCTGGTAGCAGTTGGGCATGGGGCTGCCTCTACCCAGCACCAGAGCCATCCCATCTCTTCCAGGTCTGCCATCTCCAGGGTTTGAGTCAGCTGTGACCAAGATGTCCCCATGTAGGTTTAGAGCAGAGAAGGACTCCATAACCTTCTCAGGACAATGGGGTGGACAGGGGAGCACTAAGGTTTTGCAAGAGGAACA